ATTCCGAGGAAAAATCATCGTTTTTCATGGCAGCATTACATAACTTTCTCTATATCACATATGTAGTGTACGATAAAGTAAAAACTGTGGGGGAGGGCTTATCCTTTATCGTGAGTCGGAAGCATAAACGTAGGCATTAATCCACCCCTGATGCTCCTTAATTTAAAAATCCCCACCCATTATTCGCAGAACTGAGTCTCCCAAAGCTTCCGCCGCCGTGCAAAGCCCTCGTTCGTGATCGCAGGTTCCCGCGCCCGCAGCGCTCCTTCCTCCGCGCCACCCCGCTCCGCTCGCGGCCTGCACCGGGCACGCGCCGGTCCCTGCAGTGGGGGCGGGGGCGCTTCTCACAGGAGTCTTTCAACCCGCGCGCGGCGTCAGCCTTGGCGCGCACCTTGGTCAACGGCCGCGCCCCCTCCGCCCGCGCCGCGACCGCCGACGGAGACGGATTCTCACAGGGATGAGGGCAACTACATTTCCGACCCTCCCCCCCTTATGCCGAGGAGAAGTGGCTCAGGGCATCGACTGTTGTCGTTGCAGTGTTTTTGATTGGGAGGTCACAGGGTCAAGTCAGGAAATTGTTACGTGTTCCTTTTTCACCTGCAATCTATGCTGAAGTTCACTTGTTTTTATTGTTACTACCTCAACTCGATGCGTTCTTGTCATCCCCGAAACCGTGCATCTAGCCCACCCTTGTCAAGTCAACAATGTCTTATGCTATTTTAATATACTTTGTTTCTCCAAAATTTTCAAAATTGTCCAAAATTTATTTCACCCATAGTATATTTTCATTTCCAATGCCTCGCATCCCCAATGTCTCATTTTAATTTCAAACTCGACATACTTTCTCATATTTTACCTGTTATATTGCGTTAATGTTTTTTGATTTTAGAATACAAAAATCCCGTAAAGTTTTTCGCATTCTCTCAATAAATTCCACGAATTAGCCTTTTCGTAGAGTAGACATTGTATATCTTTTCTTTCCTCATGATACCCCACTGATTCACATTCTTCTTAAATCGAACTTCAATCTTGTTACTTACAATACGAACAATTCTCGCGACGAATGTTAATGCTGCTCTTATTACAATGCAGATCCTAGGAGAGAGGGACGCAATTAGGTCTTCGCTACAGGACTCGTGAATCTCAAGGAGTCATCGAGTCCAAGAGGGCAGTTGAGTCCGATGCGTCCCATAATTCTTCTTCTTCTTCTTCTTCTTCTTCTTCTTCTTCTTCTTCTTCTTCTTCTTCTTCTTCTTCCCGAGAAAAAATGCCGCCCATTTGCACAAAAGTTTGGCGGCCGTAAAAACCGCACCACCAAGGGAGCTTCCGTGCGTCAAAAATTCAAAAGCCACGTTTTCAATGGCTCCTATTTCGCCCGAAAAGAAATTTTATAGGCCCCTGAGATGTGACGAGTACTTTTTATCAACGGTCCCTGAAACGAAACCCAATCATTGGGCGCCCGAACTATAGACTGTAGTAGGCGCACCGAGGTCGAGCAACCGCTGACTTCGAAGCTGGCCTAACGCAAACCGCGCTGCCCGTCGCTGCTCTCCAAATCAGCGAAGCTGATTCCGCGGGATGGCTTCCGAGAACTGGAAGTTTATTTCGGTAGTGCGGAACAAGGGATACCCTCTTTCATTCCACCAACCTGGTGTTACAACATCTTCTAGTACTTCTTTGAAATGATTCACTAGGAGAACAAAAGTTTCTTCAATGTTTTCGACTTTTGGCTATTAAAACGTTATTATCATTTTACGTGATAGTGAAATTAATCAAGTTAGAAAAACTTGAATGCCTTCTCCTTCTTTCACGTGTAGACCAAACAAATACATATACTATTCTAAGCGCCAGACAATGACCTCGAATCATTACAGATTATTTGTTCGTAATATTTTAATTTTTGGAGAAATTTAAGTCATCATTATTTTTGTGCAATTGGGATTAGTATACAGTGCAAACATGGATAACACGAACGTTGATAGCGCGGGAATTTTTTCATATGCAATTTTCCATTATTTTCAATAGTATATCGAATTACTATAATCACTCGATAACGTGAATTGTAACTCGTTACAGCGAACTATTCTTTCTTATTCTTTGATACTCTCATATTGCGATTTGCGCCAGCTCTTTACATCTTGCGCATTCTGTAATCAATATTTCGTGCTGTGTTTCGGAATATAATATTAAAATAGTTTAGAGGCGTTTTGCGTGATGAGCGTTTACGTGACCCGCGCCAGCCCGCGGCAGGTAAACCGCTTTGGCAGTGTCAGGACGCTTCTCTTACGTACGAGTACACATATAACGCGTCATGTCCATCAACACCAGTGTCAAATGTCGTCGGGCGTTCGTACGTTGCAGGAAGATTTGTAGAGTTCATATCGCTGGTTCCCTCTTTAGTTTGATTCATTGCAACGTAACCAGTATCGCCTTCTTGTAATCCTCTTGAAGTCTATTTTAATGTCTCGTAAATCAATGCTGTTTTTCCAAGAAAACAGTGAAGAAGAAACTTGCACAATAGGGGCTTGGTGCCTTCACACAATAATGTCCACAATGGCAATGCACATGATTGTGTTTCTCAATGTGTAAGTGAAATGAATTGTAATTAAATAATTTGATCTCGACTGAATTCAGTTTAACTCTAAGATATTCTTTTCAGCGTGTCATTTCCATATTCCAATATATATATATATATAATATATATATCATATATATATAT